CAATTCCAAATGTAATTGGGGGTAATGGGAAGCTAGGTCACTGGGTGTGCTCACCAGATCTGTGATAGTTGTTGAACAAAGCTTATAAAAACAAAACAGACCCTGTGGCCTCAAATGAGGTGTTTATTACTGACATTTCCAACAAAGGCTGACATTCCAGAGTGTCTAATTATTTCAATAATGTCACAAATTTCCTTCTAAAAAAAATCCTGATGCTGTATACTTTATCTGCCTCTCCTAAAAATGAATGCATGCAAAAATGAATAAATAAACAAACCATCAAATCAAACCATCTTTGCAACAAAGACAGATAAAAAGGAACCTCTACAAATCAACTTAACAACAAAAAGAATACTTGTAATCCAAATGAAAAATGAACAAAGAAAATCAGCAGTTCACATATAAAGGAATCCAGATGACCAATAAACATAAAGAAAGCTACTTAATCTTATAATTAAAGAAACATAAATCGCTAAAACAAAATGCCACTTTTCATCTGTCAAACAAGCAAAAATTAAGAAGATTGATAGTATCTAATATGGGCAAAGGTGAGGAGAAACAGCCTCTCATTCACTATTAACTGGAGTGTAAATTGAGCATGGGGGGTGGCAGGAATTTGGCAATGTGCTTCAAAACTGTGTACGTACAAATTCTTTGACCCAGCAGTTTTACTTCCCAAAGAGTACATTTTCCCAAAGATAATGTTCAAGGACATCTACTGCAACACTCTAAAATACTGAAACTTTAAAGCAGGGAACAATCTACATGCCCATTAACAAGAACTGGTTAAATAAATTATGATCTATTCATTCAATAAAATACTCTGATGCCATGAAAAGGTATAAAGTAGAGCTCGGATTCCTAAGATGTATTAAGTCAACAAAAACTGAACAGCACATATAATACACTCATTTGTTTTTAAGAAAAAAGATACATGAGTATGGAGGCATACTTGTATATCCATGTAAATTTCTTAAAAAAGAAGCTGTTAACTGTGGCTACTCCTGGGAAACCAAAAAGCAGGAAGGTAGGGAGCACATTTTATGTTATACTCTCAGAATTATTATTTTCAAACAATAATATACATAACATATTATAATAATTATCTGTATTTACATATAAGTTTTTCAATTCTTTGAAATTTACTTCATCCAGAAACATACCAGATAAAAATGTCATTTCCCCAACTTAGCAGCTAAAATCAAACCTACATTCTTTAGCTCTATTATATTCAAAGAACCATATGAATAGATTCCCTTCTGTACACATAAATTTTCTAGTCACCATGAGGCCATTTTCTCCCTCTTCTCACATTACAAAAACCTTTCTGGATGTGTGCTATCCCTAGAACTCCTAGAATTGCGAGGACTCCCAGCCACCATGATTTTTTTCCTGCTTAACTCCGCTCCCTCACCCCTCATATCCACTAGGTACAGTCTCACAGCATCCTTCTTTCTCCTTATCATTGTTGTAATTTCATATTTCTGCAATTATTTGATTAATGTCCATCATCCACACTAGACTGTAAGCTTCATGCAGGGCAAGTCTTTACTCAGAATCAATCCTTAGTGCCTGGCATGTAGTAAATGTTCAGTGAATATTACTCATTTACATGGCATCGTAGATTCCGTGCTAAGATAAGGATAAATAAAGGAATTGTCAGTCAACTGAGAGAGGACCTGGTTGGGGTTCTGTGAATTTCTTTAGCAGCGTTCAGTAGGCCTAGAGCAAGAACAATGACCAAGAATGCAGGAATTGGCTAATGGACACAAAGGAAAGGACTTGCAAAAGTATCTTTAAAACAGCAGCCTGGGAGGTATGGCCTTGAAGAGAAAGAAGTAAAGCCTTTCCCTCTGCTCTGAATACCTGTCCTTAAACTCCATCCCCTGTATTCTGAGCCCAGTGAAACATTAATTCTTTAAACCAACATCAAATGCCCTCTCCTCTATAAAGGAGTAATTTCGTCTCCTTCTTTTCTCCTTCTTCTTTACTCTCATGGTTCTCCAGACTTAGTTATCATATATCCATCAATCATACACATTTTCATGTATCTTGATAAATTCAAAGATCAAGATTCAAATGACCCATCCATTCATTACATTTGACAAAAATGAACACACTACTCGGCCCTGAATCCCACAACACAGATTCTCAAAACTGTCCCTGCTCCTCAGTAGCTATTCATTTTGTCTCCTTTGCTAGTTCTTCATCTCCCCAAACCTAAAAAGGCTAAAATGCATAAGGACTCAGGTCTTGTACTACGTTCTTTTCTGTTTATATTCACTCCTTTGGTGATTATCTCCAGTCTCCCAATTTTAAATACCATCTGTTCGCTGACAACTCCCAAATGTTCTTTTCTAGCAATGATCTACTCCCACTGAACTCCAGACTTGGTAGACTCAACATCTCAACTTGGATGACTAATAGACATCTCAAACATAGTATGTCATAACTGAACTCCTAATCTTCCCCCACAAGCCTGCTCCTCCCATAGTTTTTCACTTCTTAGTTAATGGCTATTCCACCCTTCTAGTTGTTCAAGTCCCATACCCTGACAATTATCTTACTCTTACAACCCACATTTAATCCATAAACAAATCTGTTCGCTTTACCTACAAAATACGTTCAAAATTGAACTACTACTCACCATATTCATTTCTTTCCACCCTATGAGATTGTGAAGCGGCTATAATCTCATGTGAATTATTACAACACCTTCCTAATTAGTCTCCTGGCTTTTGCCTATGCCACTCTTCAACAATCTGTTCTTAACACAGCAGCCAGAGTCATCCTGTTAAAAACCTAAATCAGATCATGTCAGTCCTCTGCTCAAAACATTCCACTGGTTATGTATCCTCTGTGCTATTCCTTCAAGGTGGGATTCATGTTGCATGACATTTGCATCTGCATGTGACTAACAATGTCTTGACACATATTAGGTACTTCGTAACTATCTGTTAACTGTCTAAAACCAATGAAAGTAAACTGGAGACAAATTTTGGAAAATCTTAATATCAGATTAGAATTTATACTTAAAGATATTAGGAAGTCACCACATGAATCCAAAAGAAAAATGTACCATAATGTACATTCTAGGACTATTTCCATTCCTATGCTAAGCAGAGTTACATACAATTATGAACTAAGCCAGAAAAAAATCCAATTTATAATTTTTTTGGAACTAGAGGACATCTGCAGATGTCACACCAGAATTCTATTACCATAATGACCTTTTTGCACTGCATTTTCTTAGAAAATAATGGTGAAACATATATAGAACAATCCATCAATAATATCACTCCTTTGGCAGAAAACCCATGTTAGTACCACCTATAATTTTCCTTCAAACTTACAGTAAAATCCCTGAGAAAAGATTAACTTTTTCTTTTTAAAGGTGTTAACCTCTAAAAAACAAATTTAGGGGCGCCTGAGTGGCTCAGTTGGTTAAGCGTCAGACTCTTGATTTCAGCTCAGGTGATGATCTCATGCATAGTTCCTGAGTTTGAGCCACGCATCAGGCTCTGCGCTGACAGTGCATGGAGCCTGCTTGTTACTCAGTCTCCCTCTCTCTCTCTACCCCTCCCCAGCTTGCTCTCTATCTCTCTCTCAAAATAAATAACTTAAAAAAAACTTATCCCAAAGCCCGATAACAGAAAAAGATAGAAATTACAAAAGGTTGCTCAAGATTGAGACGAATAATTACATCAGATTGTAATGAATTTACTTTGATTATTTAATGTTAGTTTAACTCAAAATATTTTCAAATTTATAGATATGAAGCAGCAAAACTACCTTCCAAAACCACGGAATTTCCTTATTACAATATTACCATCTCTAAAAGAGTAACAGTATATAGGGCTATTGTGAAAGTTAAATGAATAATATTGGTAAAACTATTAGAACAGTGCATGGTTCAGTTATCACTAGTAGCTAGTAGTAGTAGTTATTATTTTACTAAAGTGAAAATGATCAAATACCCTAATCCAATGTAGACTATTCAAAGCCAAACTTGAAGGGTCAACTGTTTGGAAACAGTAGCTGAGATAACACATATAAAGAACCATCTAAAAACTAAAAGCAGTTATGAAAAACTGTATCACCTCTGTACTGTGATACATACAACATAGCTATTGGAGGGAGCTATAACATCCTATAGCATTTTGGAAAACCACTGTTCACACTGTCATTATTTTATCTTTCAACAAAACAATGAGTTCTGGCATTTCCACCAATCACAAACAGTTCTCTCAATTTCAATAGTTGCGGATTTTTTTTTCCGGATCCAACATTTTTGGAACCAACGTCAACATACAATTACTTCTCGCTTCAGTATATTATCAGACAGTCCAAAGAGGTTAATAAGCGGGACACATACATCTTCATCAAGCAAAAACTGAACTGCGGTCAACACACAGGAAGACATTAAAGATAATTTTAAGCAGAAGTTTGAATCGCACCCAACCTTCTTCCTGAGGCATAAAGGAAAACTTTCTTGAGTACCCACTCTGGATTTCACCTTTAAATCGAGATTAGCCTACCGACTCAGGTGGGCTAATACTGCAGCGGCTGGCAGTTGGTGATCATATATGTGAATGAAAAATGTGGATAACACAGTAAAGTTACTCCTCTACACTTCCCACTTTGGCCTTCCTCCCTAAACAAGATTTGACGGCAGCTGAAAATTGTTAAGTTATTTAATTTCTCCTTCGCCTTCCAATATTTGATAGGAGGAGCTGAGAAGGAAAAAGTAAAGGCCAGATCAAGAGGGAGAAGTAAGGGTCCAAGGTTAGCCAAAGCCAGCAAGCAGCCGCAGGGCAAGCCAAGTGGTGGGCCTGAAGCAATGCTGCCCCCAACGCTCGGGTGTGAGGGAACGCATTCACGAAGGCTACGCAGCTCGACCCGCTCCTCACAGTCAGCCAGGGGAAGAAAGGAGGATTCCCAGAAGAAGCGAACTTTTGCAGAAACACGAGACAAACTCAACCCCCAGCTGCGAATAATACCTCGCTGGCCTTCTACTCCGGTCTCCGGGAAAAGCAGTCGGGCAGTGGTGACGTCAATGAGGCGCCGGCTCTATCCCGGGCGCCAGCGGCGCTCTTTGATAACCTCACGCTGCTCGCCCCGCCCCGCTGGCTCCTTTTCCCTAGCCTAAACTCTTAAGCGCCTCAGGCCAAAGCTGTGGAAGGAGTTGCGGCGGGAAGCGGTTACTTTTTACTAGGTTTGTATTCGGCGGACACCCGCCGTAATACAAGTTGAGCGTACTGAACCAGAAAACGATGTTAGTTGCTAAAGCTTTGGTCAGGTTTTTATTTTTGTTTAAGCTGGTTCCGGGACCCTGGTTCTTATTACACTCCCTTCGCCCACCTCAAAATTAACCTTCTAGAGCGGACTCCCAAATTATCTGTGGCGAAAGCACAGGTTCTTTATTTTTACAATTCATCGCTAAAAATGTCTTCGTAAAATACAGCAAAAAATGAATTTCTTGAAAAATGGGGAAAAGGCAAAATACGAATCCAGATTTTTCATTATTAGTTTCAATAAACAAAACTATATTTTAATAAATACAGCCAGTATATGAGAGGAAAAACTGTTCATTGAAAATGTAGTAGTAGTCCTTCTTACCGTGGTTTCACTTTCCTTGGTTTCAGTTACCTGAGGTTAACCTCAGTCTGGAAGCAGATGACCCTCCTTCTGAAGAATTATTGTAAGGTCAATAGTAGCCTTACACCATATTACAATGCCTGCATCATTCATGTCACTTTATCTCATCACCTGGGCATTTTGCCATCTCACACATCACGGGAAGGGTGAGTATAAGGTATTTTGAGAGACCACATTCACATGGCTTTTATTACAGTATATTGTTATAATTGTTCTATTTTATTACTAGTGTTGTTAATCTCTTAGTGTGCCTAATTTACAAATTAAACTTTATCACAAGTATGTGTGTATAGGAAAAAATAGTATATATAGGGTTCAGTACTGTCTGCAGTTTCAGGCATGGAGCTGTTGGGTGGGGTGGTGCTGCTGGGTCTTGGACCATATTCTCTAAGGATGAGGTCGGGACTACTGTAAGTGATTAACAGCATCATTTTTATATTCCTAACTTTTTAGATATAGATAGATATAGACATAGATATATGAAGTCATTATATTGTATGCCTTAAACTGATACAGTTTTATAAGTCAACTATATCTCAATAAAACTGGCGGGAGTAGGGGAATGGGGAGGAGAAGAAAAAAAAAGTTATCCAAAATCCCCCGTCACAGGAGTGGGGGGGGGGGGGGGGGATGCCTCCGGATAGCATTTGAAAACCACTGCCTTATGCTACCTCACAGTTTCTTTAATTCCATTTCACATCAAGAGGCTGAATTCACCTCAGTACTAGTGAATACTCCAGCTCTTGGCTGCAAGAAAAGAGACTCGATATATAACAATATAGCTGGCCTTGGAACTGGAAGATAAAGGCACTGACAACATTCCCAGAGTAGATCAATTCCCATTTTATTACTTCACAGTAGAAATAATGGCAGGGTATGCCAAAGTAGCTGGGACAAACTAGCTATGTGACCCTAGTCAAGTTACTAGCCTCTGATCCTTATATTCTCATGGGGGAAAATAGAGTCTAGTAATAACTATGTGTCAAATGAGACACCAAAAGGGCTTTCCACAGTGCTCAGCACAGAGTAAACATTTAATAAACATTAATTATTAGTAACAGTAATTATCACTATACAATATTATCTCTAAAAAAGAAGGAAGTGAGAAAATTCCAGTGTTGATCAAAAAAAAAATTCTGATGTTGAATTTAGGGAGTTTCTTAGATCTTAGTATTCAAACTATGTATCACAAAATCAGGCTCCCAATTAATATCAGAGTAAAATACTATAATTTTTTTCTAACTTCTGAATGATAACATACAAAGATCACTGCTACAGCCAGCATAATAATAATCTCAGGTGAGATTCATCAGTAGATGCTAAAACTATTAGGTGTAAGTTTGATTTAGAGGTGGACATTTACACCACCTTAAAACACTTCATCACAGACTATTTTTGAATTACGAAAGTAAAAATGGTAATCTTACAATAGCAAAATCTGTTAGATATAGAACCAGTTGTTCTATTTTAGTACCACTAATGAGACAAACTGACATCACATGCCTCCTTTCATGATGCACTAAGAAATACTGCACCATCATTTAATGTATTATTCCTGCCAAAAGGGCATTATTTGAATCTGATCCTCAGAAAATATTAAACACACCCAAAGTGAGGGACATTCTTTAAAAAAATTATATTTCAGAAGTGTTAATGTCATGAAAGGAAAAAAGAGAAACTGTCCTAGATTGAGAAACTAGAGAGACACAGCAGCAGAAGGCAATGCATGATCCTGGATTGAATCCCAAATCAGTGAAGAAGAAAAACTCTATAAAGAATATCATTGGGGCCGTTGGTGAAATTGAATATAGATTTTATATTGAATATAAAATTAAATATATGTATTAAATATATGTTAAATGTTTTGTGTTTGAAAATTGCACTATGATTATGTTAGAGAATGTTCTTGCTCCCAAGAGATGCATGCTAAAATATTTAGATTAGGGGTAAAGGGCCATGTTGTCTTCAATTTACTCTCAAATGATTTTGAAAAATACTAATAGTAACAATAATAGTAATTATATTGAAGAGCGATATCAAATGTGCAAAGTGGTTTATAATTGGTGAATCTAGGTGAATGGTATGAGAGAGTGTATTGTATTATTCTTACAAGTTGCTAAATGTAAAATACAAAGAAAGAAAGGAAGAAAAGAAAGAAAGAT